AATGGAATTATCGCTGACCCCGTAAAAATTAAATCAATTATAAATTTACCGACACCTAAAAGTGTAAATAATTTCTGCTCAAAAAATAAACATTTGCGAGATTTATTAAAACATAATGTTCAGTGGCAATGGAATGAAATTCATAATCAAGAGTTCAAAAATTTAAAATATGAATTAACCAAATCTCCAGTTCTGACTTATTTTAATCCAAAAAAACCAATTACTCTTACAGTAGATGCATCTAAATTTGCAGTTGGTTCAGCTATTTTACACGACAACAATCCTATTGCGTACGCCTCAGCGTCACTGACAGACACTCAAAGAAACTACGCTCAGATTGAATAAGAGCTTTTTGCAATTTTGTTTGGTTGTACCAAATTTCATGAATATCTTTATGGTTTAAAAGTTTTAGTTGAGACCGACCACAAACCACTTGTATCATTGTTTACAAAGCCATTATACAACATTCCTGCCAGGTTACAAAGATTTATGTTACGTCTACAGTGTTATGACCTAAATGTTCAATATAAACCCGGAAAACATCTTTATATTGCAGATACGCTTTCTAGAGCACCACTCAGAGAACACGCTTTAAATGAAATTGATAATGATTTGTCACTACATTGTGATTTGTTAATGAAAAGTATAAATTTATCTGATAGTCTTCTTAGTGAAATCAGGGAAAACTTAATTAACGATGAATCACTGCAAAAAGTGATTTCGTATATCAAAAATGGTTGGCCTTCCAATAAAAAATTAGTTGATACACTGGCTATGCCATATTATAACATTAAAGATGATTTGTCTTTTATCAATCAACTTTTATTAAAAAATAATCGTATAATTATACCACATCAACTTCGTCACAAAACATTAAATAGTCTACATGAAGGACACATGGGAATTCAGCGTTGTCAGAATTTAGCTAAAAGTTCTGTTTATTGGCCAAATATTAATCACGATATATTTAATTTAGTTTCTAGTTGTGAAATTTGTGCTAAATACAAAAATTGCAATGGCAAACAAGAGCTACTGCCTCATGATATTATAGAGTTGCCTTGGTATAAAGTGGCTTGCGATATTTTTGAATTTGAAAAGAAACAATACCTTTTGGTTGTTGATTATTATTCAAAGTACATTGAAATTGATATTTTAAACATGGGTTACTCTAGCAAGCATGTCATTACAAAATTAAAATCTATTTATGCCAGACACGGCATTCCTAAAATTTTTGTTTCAGACAATGGCCCTCCTTATAATTCAAAAGAATTTAATCAGTTTTGTAACGATTGGTCTATTGAACACATAACATCGAGCCCTCATTTTCCGCGATCTAACGGCATGGCAGAGCGTTCAGTTCAAATTGTAAAAAAATTATTGATAAAATGTAAAGAAACAAATTCAGATTATTACACAGCGTTATTGCATTACAGAACAACTCCTAAAGGTAATTTACCTAGTCCTAGTCAATTACTGATGTCACGTCAGTTAAGAAAAAAATTACCAACTATAGATACAAATTTAGAACTAAAAATTATGAATAATGAAAAGTACAAGATTCAAGTTGAACAAAATATAAAAAAAATGTCTGAAAATTTTAACAAAAAAGCCGTCAAATTACAACCAATTTTTCCAGGTGAAGATGTCATGTTTAAGCGTACACCGCTTTCAGTTTGGTATCCTGCAACAGTTGTAGAAAAATGTAAAGAACCAAGGTCATTTTTGGTAGAAGACAATGATGGAGTGATTTATCGAAGAAATAGAGAACATTTAATGAAAAGACAAAGTGTTTTAGACAAAATAGATGAAGAACGAGAGACTGTAAATCCAAATCAAAGTCCTGTTATAGATCTAAATTTAAATAATGAAAAAAGTGCAAATCAATATGTTACTCAAAGGGGAAGAAATGTGGTAGCACCTAATAGACTAAAATATGAATAATATGAAGATTAATATATGAATATCAAAAATTTGCTATTGTATTATTATATTGTATATACTTATTATTATATTATTAAAATAGACTAAAATATGAATCATAGGTTTAATATTATATTATTATATTGTATATATTGTATATACTTATACTTATTCTTATATTATTAAAATAATATTAAAATAGACTAAAATATGAATTATAGATTTAATATTAATATTAATATATAAATATAAAAAAAAAAAAATAAAAAAAAAGGAAGATGTTGTGAAGTTTAAAATAAGTACTCTTCATGTAACTCTTATAAGTAAAACTCTTATACATATTCTATATTTCACATTATTGTATTGCACATTATAATATAATAAAGACAGTCGTTACTAAACAGTACAGTAGGTAGGTGACGTTGTCGTCTCACGTTGCACGTTCTATAATGTAATGATTATAAAAACGTGTGTATACCGGCTGCGCCAATTAATGTTGTGGATCCGAGCAGAAGTTGTTGCTTCCTCTTTAACCAAACAATATACACCTAGTTGAGGATGTTGAGGTGATGGTGATGATGATATAGTCCTCCCAGAAAAACCCGTAAAAATAATACACTTTTCTTTAGTTATACAATGACACAATTACATTATTTATTTCCAATATATATCAGCGCTACTACGCTTCACTTTTCACTTTTTTACACTCTCCAGTTCAAATTTTGAACTCGTCTTATATACCCAAACTTGATGCAAAAATCCAATATATGACCTAGTTACTTTATTGGGTTTTTCCCATAGTTGTATAATTTATTTTGCTAAATTCGCAAAGTTTTATTATTACAAGAATGCTCCACATATTTTTGCAATTCTTCCGTATTCAATATTTTCAAAGTCACTTACATCATGACACCAATTACTAACCAAATACCAAAAATCAGCATTTCTTATCGTCGAACTGACGGTCTGATGCTTTGGTTCTAGTCAATAACTGCCCAGATGCAAACAACCTTGCCTATTTTTAGGAAAATATACGATCAACTAAAATCGTACACAAATAAAAATATTACACGTATTTCACAGAGAAATTGCAAAACGTAAAGTTAAATGGACTAATTATTTAACTCATAACACGAGGAATTACTCTTGCCAACAAATGTTACTTCGGGCTAAGTAAGCAATTGAGAAATAAAGCCCTCTCTCGACAAACACAAATCACGCTCTACAAATCCCTTATCATGCCTGTCCTGCTATATGGTGCAGAAGCTTGGACAATTACCAACAGTGATGAGAAGGCGTTAGGTGCATTCGAGAGAAAAATTCTTCGGAAGATCTATGGTCCCTTACGCGTTGGCGACGAGTATCGAATTACATGGAACGATGAGCTGTATGAGCTATACCGCGACATTGACATAGTTAAGCGCATAAAAATTCAGCGGCTACGCTGGCTTGGTCATGTCGTGCGAATAGAAGAAAGTGCTCCGGCTAGAAAGGTATTTGATTCGATACCCGCAGGTGGAAAACGCGGTAGAGGACGTTCGCATCTTCGGTGGAAGGACCAGGTGACCAACGATTTGGGGGCGCTCGGTACTACCAACTGGCGTCAGAAGGCAATTAATCGGGCTGACTGGCGGAGGCTACTCGACGCGGCCAAGGACGACATACGTCTGTAATGGCCAACTAAGTAAGTAAGTAAGTAAGTAAGGCACTTGAACTTATTTGCGTTTAAGTTTTAATGAGCACTTGAACTAATTAAAACTCAAGGAATGTTTGGTATTGAATTGAAAGTTTATTAGAAAATGTTGTGCTTTTATACAAATTTGGCAAGGTGTTGATACATACAATTCCCACGATAATGCTCTATACCTTAAGCTGCATTAAAGTAGCGATTAGATATCGTTCAGCTTAGTCGTGGGAACGGTCACAGTTCTCATGGAAATTGTATGCATTGACAAATAAGAATATTACTTGCGCAATTTCCTTAGCAACCTGGTACATGCTTGTAAACTTATTTTCTTTTAACCTTGAATTAAGTTCATATAACAGCTTGCTTTACAAACATAATTATTATTTAATAAGTACAATACTGACCTTGCACAAGCAAATTTTAATTTCTCATAATGTTCTATATTAAAGAATTGCACATGCTAAATGCATGGCTTGTCTGCAGTTTCATATGACGAGCAAAGTGTGCTCGTGTGATATACAACTGTTGTTGTTGTTTTGATAAATTTTGATATCTTAACCCACCGTTCAAGGCTTAACATAAGTCATTAACATTATGAGAATAAAAATTTGCTTTACAACAAACAAAAATGAATAAATCTGAAGTATAAATGTAATATATTACTTAAAATTAACAAGATTTGTCGATCGTAGGCTGATCATTATTATGTCTAAATTGGACATTCTGCCCCCGATTGACGCCAGTCAATTCTATTCTGCTACTTCGAACTCAGACATTGCATGTTGCTCTTGAACTCGTCTTCTTTCTTTTGTTAATCTGCATTATGTTTGCAGATAACAATTCATTTCTCGTTGCCTTGAATAGTTCAACTAACGTCCAGCAGTGATTATATCCATTCATCAACTTACACACGTTCGCTAAGGATTCGGTTCCATTTTCAATGAATTAAAACTCCTGCTGCAATAGACTTAAGTCATAATATGCTATGATTTTCCATTCTGCTTGTGATCTTTTGATGATTCCTTTGTGTTCGAAATGAATGCCTGGTGTGTTATTAAAAAATTTTATCGTGATACCTAACCCTGATATCAGTGGTATCCATAATAATACCAGCTAGCAAGTTGATGTTGAGTTTTGCTCGTTTTTTAGGCTTTTCTTCATCACATCTATCAAGTTGCATCATGGGGGTTGAACAATCTTCCGACCATAATGGTGCTAGCCGATGTATTGGACGCTTCTAAATCCCGTTTTTCGTTTTGACATCTACAACTCTGATTCTTCCATCATTACCGGAATAGCATTTGATGATTCTGCCCAGAGGCCATTGAAGCGGAGGAGCGTTGTCTTCTTGAATGATTACCAGCATTCCTTCTTTGACGTCAGGTGATTGGTGCTTCCATTTAGTGCGACACTGTAGCTCATTAAGATACTCCTTTGACCATCTTGACCAGAACTCGTTTTTTAGATGATTCAACAGCTTCCACCTGGTTAAAAGCGATTGTTTGGTTGTAGTTTCTGACCTACTTGGAAGGGCTGTTAGCGGTTCTCCTATTAAGAAGTGTCCTGGTGTGAGGGCAGCCGGAACATTTGGGTCTGATGACAACGGTGTTATTGGTCTGGAGTTTAGCATACTTTCAATTTGGGTTACCACTGTTTCCAATTCCTCGTAAGTGAGTGACACGTTGCCAATAGTTCGCACCAATAGATATTTAGCTGATTTGACAGCAGCTTCCCATAATCCTCCGAAATGTGGTGCTCTCGGAGGTATAAAATGAAAAACAATTCCTTGAGCTGAACAGGATCTTATTATGTTGTTTTGAGCATTTGTGCTGTGAATGCTTTCAGCTAACTCGTTCATTTGATTTTTAGCGCCCACAAAATTAGTCGCGTTGTCACAATATAAGTTCTGACATCGACCTCTTCTTGACGTAAACCGGTTCAAAGCGCCTAAGAATGCATCTGTAGTGAGATCACTAACAACTTCCAAATGTACTGCCTTCGTGGAGAAGCAGCAAAACACTGCGATGTACGCTCTGCATGGTCTTTTGCCTCTAATTTTGTGGTGTATCCATATGGGACCACAGAAGTCCACACCTGCGTTGAAAAAAGGTCTTTGAGCTTGGACTCTGTCAGCTGGTAGATTGCCCATGATTTGTTTGAACATATGTGGGCGTACTCGAGTGCATTGTACACAATGTTGCACAATGGATCGAGCCATAATCTTGCCTTTTATTGGCCAAAATCGCTGCCTGCACTGGGCTAATAATGTTTGCGGTCCGCAGTGAAGTCCCTTCTCATGTAAATGTTTCATTATGAGCTTAGCTATTGGATCGTTATATGGCAGCAGCATGGGGTGTTTGGCATCGTAGGTAAGATGTGACGACGTCAATCGACCTCCAACCCTGATGACGCCACTATCGTCGATAAATGGAGAAAGTCCGTGGAGACTACTGCTTCCCTTTAGATCCCTTTACTTTAAGAGTTGATGTCGTTCTTCATTGAAATCACTTAGCTGTATGGTTTTTATAATTATGAGTAATGACTCATCCAGTTCTAATGGTGTCAAATTGATGTCGTTGTGCTTGCTCTTATTACGTAACCCTTTGATGAATCTCAACACATAGCCAAGAATTCGTTGCAACCTTATGAATGAGTTTCCATGCCTTATCGTATAAATCATTTTGATTAGTTCATCATCATGTGAAATTGTAAGCACATGTACCTTCCTTTTGACTTCCGCTTGTATATGGTCGGATGTTATCAATTCCTGACGGAATGGTTGGGGCCAGCATTCTTGATTTCCATGAAGGAAAAGTGGCCCATAAAACCACATTGCATTCTTCTGAATGTAAATTGGATCTACACCTCTGGATAATAGATCAGCTGGATTTTGTTTAGTATTGACATGCCTCCACTGTTCCTTTAGTGTTAATTGCTGAATCTTACTGATACGATGAGCAACGAAAGTTTGGAATGTTGATGGTTCTGAATTGATCCAATGCAATGTTATCTCAGAATCAGTCCACATAAATATCGGATGATGTTCATATTCCAAATCCTTTTTTACCTTTACTACCAATTGTGCTCCTAGTAAAGCCGCACATAACTCAAGTCTTGGTATTGTCTGCGTTTTTAATGGAGCGACGCGTGATTTTGAACAAAGTAACTGAACTGAGATAGTTCGATCAGTCATTTCGGCTCTGATGTAAATGGCAGCTCCATAGGCCCTTTCGGAGGCATCAGTAAATACATGAATCTGAGTATTCCTTGGTTGTTTATGATGAAATATATGTCGTGGAATCTTTACATTGTTTATTTCACATAAGCTCTGACGAAAATGGGTCCAATTTGGACATAATAATGATCAGCCTAAATCTTGTATTTTAAATAATATATTTTAAATTATATATTTCATATTAATAATAGTCTATTATTTTTGTTTTGTTGTCAAAGCAAATTTTTATTCTCATAATGTTAATGACTTGATGTCTTAGCCTTGAACGGTGGGTTAAGATATCAAAATTTATCAAAACAACAACAACAGTTGTATATCACACGAGCACACTTTGCTCGTCATATGAAACTGCAGATAAGCCATGCATTTAGCATGTGCAATTCTTTAATATAGAACATTATGAGAATTTAAAATTTGCTTGTGCAAGGTCAGTATTGTACTTATTAAATAATAATTATGTTTGTAAAGCAAGCTGGTATATGGACTTAGTTCAAGGTTAAAAGGAAATAAGTTTATAAGCATATACCAGGTTGCTAAGGAAATTACGCAAGTAATATTCTTTTTTGTCAATGCATACAATTTCCATGAGAACTGTGACCGTTCCCACAACTATGCTGAGCGATACCTAATCGCTACTTTAATGCAGCTTAAGTTATAGAGCATTATCGTGGGAATTGTATGCATTAACACCTTGCCAAATGTGTATAAAAACTCAACATTTTTCTAATAAATTTATCATTCAATACAGAACAGCCTTGCGTTTTAATTAGTTCAAGTGCTTATTAAAACTCAATTGCAAATAGGTTCAAGTGCCTAGTTGCTCCAAAACATTGTTATTGTTTGAATCCACCTGAAGTTGGTTTAAGTGCCAAATTCAGACCTTGCAATAGGAACTGGTTCAAGTGCCAGATTCCTAACCATAAGCAACACTGAATCGATTCAAGTGTCGATTCAGTTTCAATAAGAAACGACTTATTGAACATTTTTGGTGACCCCGACGTGATTCACCGTAAGGATCACGTTTTCATCAATCCAGTGAACCTGCTCTGAAGGACCACGTTATCATCAATCCAGTGAATCTGCTCAAAAGGGTATTATTGCTGTATTTACAACCATGGAAGTCATGGCAGAATTGATTGCCAAACAATCAGAATTGGGAAAACAAATCCAACAACTGATCACTAACTTCAAAAAGGACTCAAAAGAGAGGAAGACATCCCCTCGCTACTATGAAGAGCGTATTAGGCGACTCAACGAATTATGGGAACAATTTGATCATAACGACACACAAATCAGGAATTTGCCAGTTTTGGATACGAGCGTTTCATATTTTACCAACAACTACTTTCAGGAAATCAAGGGATTATTTGAAAAATATGAGCAGATTTTCGAAAATGAATTGTCAACCAAAATACCCCCAACACCTTCCTCAAAGGAGTCAGCAACGACAGCACGTCAACCGATGCCGTCACCGAGGGAAGGACAATATAGCACAAGTATAACAAGAATGATACACAAGCAAGGTGCAATTTGTGTATCACTGAAGCGACTCATAGCAGGCATCAATCGTCAAACAGGCGTTCAGATGAAATCCTTTTATGAAGTGAATATGGGAAGAATTGAGAAGCTATGGAATGAGATTGAATCCATTAATTTTGAGATTTGGGAGTACACCAACAATCCGACTACAGTGGGATATAAACTCGATGAGTATCTCGAAATAGAAGAATTGGTTCAGTCAACTTTAATTTCGTTAGCTTCAAAGAAAGCAAATGACGAACAATCACAACAAGGAAGCAGTAAACCAGACAGCGCTGGTGTATCACTGCCTAAGGTAACAATACCAAAATTCGATGGCGATTACTTGAAGTGGTGTCAATTCTATGATTTGTTCACCGAAATGATTCACAAGCAGCAGCTTTCTAACGCTCAGAAAATGTGGTATCTCAAAGGTAGTTTAACAGGAGAAGCAGAAGGTTTAGTCCGACACCTGTCAATAACCAACGAGAATTATCAAACGGCATGGAATTTGCTACAAGAACGATATCACAACAAAAGAGTTATTGTAGCAACAATCATTCAAAGAATTCTAAATCAACCAATAATATCAACCAATCCTTCAGCGACAGAAATAAGGACACTCCATGATGTTACTTTTGAAGGATTGCTGGCACTGAAGAATGTGGGACTCGAAACTGATTCATGGTCGCCGCTACTGCTTCATAGTTTGCTCCTCAAACTAGATAAGCAGACTCGCATTTTGTATGAACAGTCGCTGAATCATCCAAGAGAGGTTCAGTCGATTAAGGAGTTCATGATCTTCCTGGAATCACGATTCCAGTCCTTAGAGGCGATTGGCCATAGGGAGAAGCCATGCTTAGCAAAAACCCTTGCCACAACTATGGGAAAGGCAAATATATCAACCTGTAAGATCTGTAATAATGGATCACATCCGATATATTATTGCAAAACATTCTTGCAATCAACACCACAAGGTCGTATCAAGACGGTACAAAAACTTAGACTGTGCTTGAACTGCTTACGTACAGGCCATAGGGCAGCAGAATGCAAAAGTTCCCGGTGCAACAAGTGCAGCAAGAACCACAATTCGTTGTTGCACTTATCAGAGTCTTCCAAGACAACACACAAATCGATCAATGTCAAATCAGATTCATTGGTTGAGAAACCCGGTCATCAACCTTCTACTGTAATCACAGCATTAACACAAAATAAGGGATACGTTCTTCTTAGTACAGTTAATATGAAAATAGCTACGTTTGATGGTGATTTCATTGAGTGCAGAGCAATACTCGATTCTGGATCACAAATAAACTTAATCACAGAAAAACTGGCAAGAAAATTAAAATTGCAGTTACACTCATCACCGTTATGGATAGAAGGAATTGGTAGAAGCAAAAGGGACACAAAATACAGTGTGACAACAAAAATTCAGTCTCGAATTAATGATTTCAATGTAAATATCAACGCATTCGTGATGCCTCGAATTATCTCAGCCCAACCAACACAGTGTCTGGACACTTCTGGTTGGTCAATTCCTCAGAATATAAAATTGGCTGATCCAGACTTCGCGAATCCAAATCAAATTGACTTATTAATTGGAGCAGAATTCTATCACAGCTTTTTATCGATTGGTCAAATCAAAATAGGTGAGGGTCTACCTGCACTTCAGAACACGGTTTTCGGATGGATATGCAGTGGCAAAGTTAGCAACGGTAATCAAAAGTTACTTACCTGTGGCATGTGCAGCGAAGCTGACGACGAAGCATTGGATAATATACTTACTAAATTCTGGCAATTGGAGGAAATCAATCAAACGGATGACAAATTCACTGATGCAGAAAAGAAATGTGAAGAATCTTTTGCTCAAAATACTCACCACAATCATGAAGGGCGATTTGTCGTGAAACTACCATTTAAGGAGGATACAACTGTTCTTGGTGAATCCATGCAGATGTCGATGAATCGATTTTTTAGTCTTGAACGTCGGCTGTTGAAGAATTCTGAACTAAAGAAGATGTACGTTGACTTCATGCGAGAGTATGAACATCTCGGCCACATGGAAAAAATCAATCAGGATGATATAATGCATCCACATTACATTTTGCCACATCATTGTGTAATCAAGGCAGATAGTACTACAACAAAGCTTCGAGTGGTGTTTGATGCATCTGCAAGAACATCAACCGGAGTCTCACTCAATGACATCATGCATAATGGTCCAGTCGTGCAAAACGAACTCTCATCCATTTTACTGCGTTTCAGGAAACCACGCTTCGTTTTTACAACAGATATTGAAAAGATGTATCGGCAGATACTAATTGATCCACGAGATGAATATCTTCAAATCATTATCTGGCGAGAGTCACCAGAAGAAAACTTGTGCTATTACAAATTAAAAACGGTAACGTATGGCACAAGAGCAGCGCCGTATCTGGCAACTAAGTGTCTACAAACCCTGGCCAGAGAGCATGCCGTTAAATTTCCGCTTGGTTCCGCTACACTCAGCAAGGATTTTTATGTCGATGACGGTTTAAGTGGCTCAGACAGTCTCATGGAGGCAATTGCAACAAAGGATCAACTTATTAAAATATTGGCGACGATGTTCAATAAGTCGTTTCTTATTGAAACTGAATCGACACTTGAATCGATTCAGTGTTGCTTATGATTAGGAATCTGGCACTTGAACCAGTTCCTATTCAAGGTCTGAATTTTGGCACTTAAACAACTTCAGGTGGATTCAACTATAAACAATTTTTTGAGCAACTAGGCACTGAACTATTTTGCAATTGAGTTTTAATAAGCAGAAAGGATTGACTGGCGTCATCGGGGGCAGAATGTCCAATTTGGACATAATAATTGATCAGCCTAATCTTGTATTTTAAATAATATATTTTAAATTATATATTTCATATTAATAATAGTCTATTATTTTTGTTTTGTTGTCAAAGCAAATTTTTATTCTCATAATGTTTAATGACTTGATGTCTTAGCCTTGAACGGTGGGTTAAGATATCAAGTCATTAACATTATGAGAATAAAAATTTGCTTTGACAACAAAACAAAAATAATAGACTATTATTAATATGAAATATATAATTTAAAATATATTATTTAAAATACAAGATTTAGGCTGATCATTATTATGTCCAAATTGGACATCATCTCTAAAGTTGAAAAACATCAGCATGGAGACAGCTAATGATGAAATAACTAGTTTGAAGGCATCTTTAAATATGATAAGATCTCAGGAAGAACTGCCGAACAATACACTATCGCAGCACCAACACCATTTCATTGTGGAATATATGGCACTTGGTCTCAGCGTGCTCATATTCTGCAGCATAATCGGTCGATATTTATTCCGAAGAAATACACACCGTCACAGGATTGGTACACCCCACCCACAACCACGAAGACGAGTTCAAGAGCAACATGCA